CACGCTCACAGATAACACGCTCACAGATGGTCCCAAACTGTGAACTTCTGCAGTGGTTTTGTTTGGTTGATTTTGAGCATTGGTGGACAATGTTCTGTTATGTGTATGTGTGTGAGGGTGTGTACACGTATGCACTAGAGGACAGTGTAATATTGTTTTGGAGCCTTGTGGTCGGGACAGAGCTAACACCTGAATGAACCTGTCACTGCAGACACATTGCTTTTTCAGCTCCAATGATTACACTGCACCCAAACAGACTCAACATTTTCTGGGTGATTCTTTGTACATGTCTGCGTGTGTGTGTGTGTGTGTCTGCGTGTGTGTGTGTGTGTGAGTGAGTGAGTGAGTGAGAGAGAGAGGTGTGTTGCTTGTGCATTGCCTGTGTGGAATTGTCTGTGAGTGTGAGAGAGACAAGTACAGAGAGTGAGACTGACAGAGCATTGTGTCAAAGTGTGTATGTGTCTAAACCTCTGCTGTATTTTAAGTTTCTCCCTGGAAAATATGAAATAGGGCTACTGCTACTGTGTCCTTCGAGGTTAAACAACAAGTCGTATTGATGGATACATACATATACACACACACACAAATACTGTAGGGAATGGTAGACCTCAACAAAAAATAAAAATTCTAATAAAATTCTCATAAATTCAACTGGGGAAAAAAGTTTATTTGTTCTCTCTTTGCTACTCTGTAGTATCACATTGAAACGACTGTACTACTCTTGTGTGTTGTTCAGCACTCTCACACTCTCTACTCTCACACTTCTTACAGAGGACTATCAGTGCACAGGGCAGCTCCCAGGCCGACCCACAGTTACCCTCTTCCAAAAATTGACTTAAAACAAAGACAAAAAATGGACAAAAGACCGATATACATTGAGCAATATAATACAGGGGCGTGGCTTGCCAGGTGAGGCTTGTTGTACAAATACAATTATGCAGACATCATCAACTAATCCTGCATTCATGTCATATCGTAGTTACAGTATTTAGTAGTTCTAAACATGTAAATATGTTCATGGCAGTGTCTAAATTGTAACAACTGTGAAACTCACATAACCGACTTGCTGATTAATAATAAGGAAGAATAAACAAACATCTATGCTCGTGTCAGCCAAAGTCTGTTTTTCAAGGTAATTAATAATAAATGTGTTGAATGTGCTGCTGTATTTTCATTGCACAGTATGTTTTAACATTCACACTACCAACATACAATTACTAAACATGGGAATGCCCCCCACCCCACATGATGTAAATGCAGCATAAATAATTACCAGTTGTAAAGACCTGAAACTTTGTTGGGTGTTTTTTATTCTCCAAATGTTAATTACGGAATCTGTCTCTCTCTCTGTGGATCTCCATCGCTTTCACTCTGACTGTGCCAAGCAGTTTGTCACTGCTCACTGTCAGCCGGTAATGGATGAAATAAAGTAACTAGGTAGGTAGGCCTGTGCATTTTAGGAACATTATGACCTTGTATGTGTGTGTGCAAAGCTCTTCTCTGAACCATGCAGTGCAGCTGGGAAAAGCATTGTGGGTTCAACAGCCACTTTCATCTGGCAAATATTGGAAAAGGCTTGACATGGACTAACAGAAAAGGCAGATTTCATTATGAGATGCTCTAGTCTTTATTTGCTGGTTGTTGCACTGTATTATTGTCACTACACGATACACATCGCTTGTAATAGGAATAACTAACCTATTGATGGGCTTAGGGTTAAGTGAAATTGTGGTCGTTCCTAGATTAGTTAACTAAAAAACAAAAAAGCAAAGCAACATTTCTGTTTAAAGAAGGAGTGACTATAATACTATATCAAGTTGGGCTTGGTAAGACACAGAGAGAGGCAGCCAGATGAGTAAAGACAGATGAAAGAAAAGCAAGCATGATGGAGGGATATGAAAGAGGTCAAAGGAAGCTGACATCCATCAGTTTTCTCTCCTTAATCTATCTGTGTAAGACATCGCTCACCCCATCTCCCTAGACACACACACACAAACCAGATATCCCAGACCCTCAGCAATTGACTTTGCCATGACCTGTAACCCTTATATATCTGTGTGCATGGCTGCACGACAGAGCTATAAAACATTGAATTGAAAATCAATTTACAGAAAAACTATGCCATCTCCCTCTCTTTCTAATTCATGTTCCACTAGCCTCTAGTGTGTGGAGTGTGTGTTTGAGAGAATGTGAGTGGCATGGACATTTTAAACAACAAATCAGACATACAGTCAGAGAGATTTTTCAGTTGCTAAACTGTATCTAAATTATTTTCAAAGCACCTTTGTTGTCGCTGTGAAGCAGTCGTGGTGTTTGTTGAATATTTATCTCCAAAAAAGGAGACATTTTGTGGTAACGTTACTGTGAATTGCAAGTGGGTATATTTCACTCTTATCTTGACCGCAGAAAATGTATTGTCACATTTCAGATAATGTTTTTATGTAAGAACTGCTTACAGCACCGCAACTGCTTACAGCATATATATATATATGAATATTAATACATTTATTCATTCATTCATTCATTCATTCTACATCCCCAACCCTATGACAGAGTTGACTCAGGTCTACAAAATATTTTTGTAGGGATAATCTAGATGTGATTCGCACTAGCAGCAAATAGAATTGGGATGTCTGTCAGGCAGAAGGGTGCAGCAGGTAATGACAGTCTACAACTTTGTGAGGCATGATGAGCAGCAGAAATCTGAGTTGTCAAAATGACAGACAAATTTCTGTATATAGGAATCACAATCGAGACGCAGGAGTGACGAAAAGATGTCTTTTTTTCTAAAAGTTGCTTTTCAGGTAGAAAGTTTGAATTGAATACATGTTTACAGACAGATTATTATGATAATGAGTGACAGATCCTTATAATGATTTTAAGATAAATAATGTATCCTGGAATTACTGATACACAGTGGGTTTAGAAGTGCTGGTAGGCAGATTTCCTACCTTTGGACAGAGACAAGCTAGCTGTTTGTCCCGGCTGTCTCTTTTTATTATTTATAAGTAGATATGAGACGGCATCCAAAACGTCTTGAGCAATGCTGCTGCTCTGTGGTGATGCCAAACACATTTGCATTGTAAACATAACAATATTTAGACACACTGACCAACAGAGAAAGAGAGAAGCACATAAACACACTTACACAGGCTTTTTGGAAAAGGCATAAAGCAGAATGGCTCCTATCCATTAAGCTGTAAAATGTGCCATTATCTTTGGATGGGAAGATTTGACTACCCGTCTCTCTATCACACCCTCAAACACAAACACTCTCACACACATATGCACACATGGATAGTATGATTTCAGCTTTTGCACCTTCTTTGCAGTCCTCAAGTAAGAAGCACTTGTAATTATCACTTCCATCAAAAAAATGCTCACCATCATCCTCTTCATTACCATGGTCATTATTATCTTCATAATCACATTTTCAGAAGTAGCAGTAGATGCTTAACGGCTCAAGGGCCCAAGGGCACTTACAGTATGTTTTGAAAGTGGTTTACACTAAAGTTAAAGGCCACATGCCATTATTTTGAAATGTTAACCCTCTATTATCTCTCTCTCTCTCTCTCTGTCATTCTCTTTCTCCATTAATGTGTTATTCTCTTTTATGCACTGGGTTTCTTTCTCTTGCACTAAAGGAATTCTACCATTATCATGAGTAAGTGGACATAAAAAAAGTTTATGAATATGGTAGTATTTGGTAATTATGGCCAATCCTGCTGTGTTTTTGCACTGCACTTCCCAAGAATTATTTGTCAATCTTAAAATGTGGCCAGTACTGTGACCATCATCTTCCTCAGGGGCAGTTTTTACATTGCCAGCCAGGGTGGTTATCACTGCTCACACTAAAGCTGCGTTCACACCGAAAGCGAAGTTAATATTAGCCTCGCTTTACTCGTGCGAGTTTGACTGCTGGACATTTTGAGTGTCCACGCACACGTGTTTTAAGCGAATAAACACAGCCCGCAGATACTACAGCTATATGAACGCAAAGTAAACCCTTTTCTGTGATTTAATTGCAATAAACGGATCAAACTGATGCAAACTGATAACTACAATATGATGCTGTTTTGTTAGACATATGAATTCATACTTGGTCAGGTCTGTCAGCAAGTCAGCAGGGTGACAACTTTTAAGATGCGTGTTTTCTGAATGGAGTTTGGATCAATCAGGGCTATGCTATGCTAACCTGTTCTCAGTAAAGTACAACGACAGCTGGAATAAAGTTTCAGACACACATTTTCTAAACTCACCATTTATTTTTTCTAAGTAATGTCCAGCTTTGTCCATTTTTTATATAAAAATTAAGTGGTAGTCCAGCAGAACTCCGGTGCCATCCGACGCTAACAACAATAGTGGAACCGGATGTGCACGGAATCTAGCTGCCGAGAAGCGCGAGTAAAGATAAATCAAGTTGTAATTCCAAAAACTAAAGTAAAAAGCTAATATAATAAAACCAGTTAACTCTGACCTCCTCCCGCTGGTAAACGGCGTAGTTGTCAGAGCAGAATCCAGACCCACTACGAGTGTTTATTTGTCCTGCAGCGCTACTCCCCGTTCACTTCCCTGTTCTTTGGCAGCTCCCCATCGGCCAGTGGATTGTCGCCTGGTCCTCTCCAAACAACGCTCTGAAGCCGCCGGTGACGTTTGGACTATCTCACCACTGATAGGCTTTCGTAACATCGCTTCAAGCGAATTTCTCGCCCAAGTTGAAAATTTGAAACAGTGAATTGCGCAACAAATTCCTCATTCGCTGCACCCGGAGCAAACTCGCAGGAATTCTCAATTCAAAGTCTTTTCATTGTATGTAATCAAGCCGCCCAAAACGCTGGATTCGCTTTGGATGGGAACGCACCTTAAGACCTTCCACAATGAATTCTAAACACAGGTATTGCAGGAAAGTCCTAAAAATAGATGGGCTTTTCACACAGAAAGGGAAAAAGGAACCAGGAAAAAAAACCAACAACTTTCTTTCTCTTTGTCTCTCTCTATAGATTGGAAAGTCCATCATATGAGGTCATGCAGCTGGACTTTGAGGTGGATAACCTGATCAATCTGGTGCCAACCCAGACTCTGCACTGGAATGTCGAGTACCCTGCTGGAATGCAGACAAGTTCCAGGCAAACAGAGAAAGTCTCGCACCTCTACATCAGCAATGCCGACATACAGGGAATCGTACCGCTGGCTGAGGTAAGGGATGACTTCATAGATGAGCACAGATACTGATATTTGTGAGCGTACATATTGACATTCCTGGCAGCAACATTTCTTATGCTGAGATATACTCAATCCCCCCCCCCATTTCCCTCCTCCTACTAACCTTCTTGCTGACAGCCCATAGCCCATCCCCTTCCTCCAGGTTGATCAAAGCTGTAAAGGTCAGCTTGTTTACCCCCTCCTGTTGCTACAAGCCTCCTGGTCACACACACACACACACAGCAGGTTTCACTCCCACAGGTTTCAAAATGACAAGCAGCCTCACCAATATGAACACAAAACCACGCAGCCACAGCGCCTATAGACATGCATGCAGACACACTTACACAGGCCCTACAAACGCATACACACATCCTCACATTTGCAACTGTATTCATCCACTAAAATTCACAGATACACCTGCATGCACAAATGTTTCCTGTGTGTATGCATCATGCTGGCAGATGTCATTCCTGGTGAGACTCAAACACATTTGCCTCTTTAGGTTCCGTTTAGACCTGAAACCTTCATTGTTGTCTATTAATAATCGGTTAAATATCTACAGACAAAGCGACACAGTTACAAATGTTACAAAATACAAAAGAAATGTTACAGATACTCATATATATATATATACTACATATAAACTGTAGACTGACTATCCAAATAATGAAAATGGCTCCAGCATATAAAATAAAGCTGCTATTAAGCAAAATAAAAATTAAATAAAATTTAACTCAACTAAAAATACAAATGTTCATGTATTTTATTGTATACTCTGTTGCATGCGTTGTTGCGATCCATATTTCCCTTAGGGGAAAGCAAACCTTTACATACAATATGAAAGATGACTTTGGGCTTACTTTTTATTAGAGAGGGGCATGTGAACTGTCTGCATCTGTAACATTTCTAACACGATAAAATGGCATCATTGCTTCATACAGTTACAGATCAGACACATCTTAGAACAGGCATTGCTGCTCTGGATAAAGCAACCAAGGACTTTAGGCTAAAAAGTGAGGAGGAGGATGCTTTTCAAAATACTCCCAGTTCCATTACCACTGAGGTAGAGCTAATCTGGCCTGATAGCCCTCCTTCAAACAGCAAAGCCCTAGTGAGAAAACCCAATTTTGTTCATGGCTTTTGCAACCCCTGTCTCTTTCACACACTGGGAAACGCAAGCCTGAAACCATCATTTCAAATAGCAGCACTGTTGGGATTTTACTACCTTTTTAAGGGGGCAGTGAGCATGGAGCTCAGGGATGAGTAATGCTACATCTCATTCCCATGTTTTCTTTAAAACAGATCAAATGTAACATGTCTTTTTCAGTGAAAAAGCTCACCAATATTAATTGAATGTTAAAGGTTTGTAGGTATATACAATGAGATCTCTAGTTCACACATGCCCCTTCAGCTTTTGATGTATTCATTTAAAATATCTGTATGTGTCAAAAATTGTTGCATCAGACATAAATGCTATCCTTAAAATACTCTCAAATTATGTATTTTTATATAATTACATTTACATTACATTACTTTACACATTTATTTGATTTGACTTTGTTGTGAAAATTCTTTGAGCAGTTAATTTTCTCAGATGCAAGTCTCAGGAAAACTCTGTCTTACGTAGCGTGCAAAGACAGTGTAGTGCCAAACCAAATCTCCCGAAATCTTTTTTTGGGTCAGAATATTTATTTCTTTACCTTTCCCTTTGTGTCTTTCCCTACAAGGTAATCTTTAACATGGCTTAAATCTGTACAGATCAATCTCCTGATGTTTAGACTCGCATGCATTATCTATGTCAAGTTGAAATCTAATGGTCTCATGTATTTGCACTCTTGATCTATGGAGACAGGGACTTCTTTAAACATAAGACTCCAAGAGAACACCAATATCTGCTAGCCTGATGCCTGAACTATAGTGTCTCCCTATCAGGCAGCTGTCATCACACTGACAAGGAGTGAGACAGAGGCAAAGAGCTATAGCTGTAAAGTGCAGAGAGCTACTATTTTTTACTTCTACTTTTGGGGTCTGCTAGCGACCAAGCGTGACCTGTATACAAACCTTATCTCACCTTTTGCCTGAATTAAGCCTATATAGAGAAAATTCCCTCACAGATTTGATATGAAAGTGTAAGGGCACCACAGACCTCCATTAAAGCTTCTGCACTTCTTATCGTAGATTCTAAACATCTCTGGAACTCTGTTGGAGGGATGAACTCCATTCTTTCAAATGAGATATTCCCTCATTTGGTGTTTTGATGATGGAGGTAGTGGAGAGCGCTGTCTGACATGTCAAAAATACCCAATAGGTGTTAAATTGGGTTGAGATTTGGTGACTCTGAAGGCCATAGCATGATTCATACTCATCAGACCATAAAGTGACTCCTACTGCCATGTATCGAAGCAACTGCATTTGTCATGATTTTGCTTTACTTTGTCAGACGTGTATATTTAAATAATATAATGACTGCTATTTGGGTTTACATCCATGGATTGTACCTAAAAATATAGCCATTGTCACTGCTAGTATGGCAGCGGTACTGTACTCCATCTGTGTCAATACTATCTCAATCAGGATCCATAGACACCCGGGCGTCCTAGGAGCTTTCAGTGGGATCTACCAGCTAAATAATTTTGGGCTTTCGTCCAGACCCATCTCCTAGAAATGTTGTATATATACAATGAAATAGTATATACAGTATACAATACATTTTTGGAAGAAATGTGGATCATGTTCACTGGCAAAAAACTTTCCCACTCCACAAAAAACTGCTTTCCACTACTGCACAGAATTCTTGAGGAGGTGCTTGGGATGCATGATGGACAAATGACAAACATGGGACTTTGACATCAGAGGCAAGGGTTTCATTTATTTATTTTATTTTATTGTGCCTGAAATAAAGGTGAAAGTAAAGTAAAGTATTTGCTGTAGAAGTATATTAACGTCATTTCTAGGAGGCAGTTGTTTTATCTTATTCACTGAGAAAGAGTGATTATTCTAATCAGAAGTATATCTCTCATTACAGTTACTCCCCCAATGTTCAAGACATAATGTAACATATGTAGTCTGACAACATTTATTCTGCACAGGCACACACACACACACACACACACACACACACACACTCCATCTCTTTTTTGCCCCACTTCTTTGGGTAAAAGCATCAAAATGGGAGCTATTACATGTCATTTGGTCCTCCTGATTTGTTTACCAGAACTGCTGATCAGGTGCTGATTGTCGGTTGGTTGTTTAAGGAGTCTGTCGCTGAGAGGGGTCTCCATGAGAGGTCACCAAGATGAAAGCCCCAATGTGTCTTGGTTTCTGGAGGAAGGGAGGAAAAGGATTTAAATCATGAGTTAGAATCTTCAAAGGAAGCTGGGTGTAAAAGCTTTCACAAAGTCTTGCATCGTCCTTCCTAAACAATTCCACATCTGCAGATTGGAATAAAAGTGCAATATCACAGGTAGAACCATGTAACGAAATTTGAGGTCTTTACCGCTGTTACATATTTAAGCAGCCTAAAAACTAAGCCTCACACATAATTGCATCAGTGCCACTCAGCACTAGCTTTTAAACATTATTTCTCTGTCTGATCTGTTTGGGTGATTCAACTCCACCTCAGCCATCATCTACCATCTCCCAAATCAAAAGTCAGCTTGTCAACGGTACTGATGTGGTAATGCAGTGGGTTATCTCTTTACAAGGCAACAATGAAAACCAGAACACTGCCTGTCATTACCAAGCCCTCTCCAACATTTTCCTCCTAATTCCGCATATCCATTAAGGTTCTGGTCTCTTGGTTGAGCGGGAAAGAAAGAGGCCCTCTTCAGGAAACGAGGGATTATTAGGAGTAATTTGTCTCTTGCGGGGGCTGAAAAATTGGTTCCATCTTTTAGAGGAGAGAAGAGGTGAGGAGAGGGGTGTTAGGGAGAGAGGGAGGGGTGAGACAAAAGAGAGCCACAGAGAGATAGAAACAGAGATAGACTGACAGAAAGAGACAGATAGAAGTAAGATTTGAGGGAAAATTAAATTCATTAATTATCTGCTGGATGTGCATTGTCTTTGCATTGTCAATGCCATGATTAAGCGGTTTGCGTTAGTCCATTCAGTGACACCTTTTCTACTAATGTTCCCATTTGGTGTGTGATTTTTGTCAGTCAAATAAAAATTACAAGATAGAAACACAGAACAATTTAGCTATATAATATACAATATACAATATACAAAATACAAATAAAAGTTATTGCACTGTACCTGGATTAACTATGCTGTGTCATTCCTGTCACTTCCTCCTCAAACAAACCATCTATCGCCTGTTGCTGAATTGCAGCAAAGTGGGGATTTTGAATTTATTGCCTAAGGAGAATAGTTGGCTGGAGCAGAAGTGCAAACTGACCGGAGTAGTGAAAATGTAAATTACTCTGAAAAGTGGAGTGGAGCCGTCATCTTTTGAATAACAACCCGCAGCGGCAGCCAGTCATTGAACAGAATTGAGTCTGCACCTGCTTTCCCAACCACAGTCTTTGATTTGGACATTTTTTTGAGGAAAGAGATGGGCCATAAGATGGGTGAAGCTTGTGGCTTAAACAGGCTTAAATACACAGCATTCATAGTTTCCAGAGGCAGTTAATCCACCGCCATTTGCCCCACACAATAAACAGCTCTGACAATTCCTCTGCTGATTCTAAATGTAATGATTACACTAGACTATATTCCTAGTGGACAGTTTGTGAATTTTAATTTCATCCCCATTGGCTAGGGATATTACACAGACTGTCTGAAAGAGCCATATATTATGTCACCAGATGGGATATAACAGAAACAAATTATTGATGGCCCAGTCTTTTCTGAAAACAAGTTACATTACCAAACAATTATCAAAGCAAATTTAAATAAAATTAAAAATGTGAACAGTATTTATTGTACATAGAAGACATAGGGTGCTATCAGTGGATAGCCATTGATCAGAGATCAATCAAAGAGTCCTTGCA